GTCACCAGGCAGCCCCGCCCAGCAGGTCACCAGGCAGCCCCGCCCAGCAGGTCACCAGGCAGCCCCGCCCAGCAGGTCACCAGGCAGCCCCGCCCCGTGAGTTATCGAACATCCACAGACAACAAGCTAACGAGCAGCCACACGCCCTCGCGGCTCTGCGGTCAGACATCGGCGGGCGGAGGGGGCTCACATGTGGACGTGCGGGGGCTGGAAGCGGCCCTGGTTGATGTTGTAGAAGGTGAAGGCCTGGGTCGGGTTGGCGCTGTACTCATCCACGTCCACCGCCGCCCGGGCGCCGTGCTGCTGCTGGTGCTGCCGCCTGGCCGCCATGATCTCCGACAGGGTGAACGCCATGGTGCACCGCGGCGGCGCGCAGGGTCCCGTCTCCCCGGGGGCCCGCTCTACCTGCGCACCCACAGCATGCCTTCCTCGCGCCCGCGCCGCTCCTCCTCACACTGCAGGCAGCACGCTGGGGAGACAGAGCAGAACAGCTCGACAGCTCATCTGTGTGTGCGCGCTGCCTTTACTTTACATCACTTACAGTGGGAAGATCCAGGAGGGGAAATAATACACGTTCGGCTCCGGGAACTCATTAGAAATCTTTCCGACTCAGTGGCTTGATGAATATTCCAGAGTTGAGGAAAGCTTGTATCAGAGTAAGACGTACAGCAGGGAAAATAATTATTTGAACAAATCCAGGATGTATCCGTTATAACTGACAGCATCACCAGAGGTAAGGTCGGGCGGATCTCACGCTGGAGTCCCAGCTCGGCTCAGAGTGAAATCAGGGAGTCACGCGGATCTCTGCACTCCTCCTACTGACATCGTATCCCACGCAGGGAGACGACAGAGATCAAGGCCTTTGTGTTCTTGTGTAACAAATTTTCAGGAGGATGAACTCCTCAATTTGATCTCTGCATTACTGACAAATGCTGCACACGGCAGCTTAAGAAATGCAGACGAGGTTTTAAAACTCACGTGTGTTTGTAGCATGACTTTCGTGAGCACGGGGCACAGCAGAGGCTGTGCTGTGAAGTGCAGACTTTGTGGAGCTGCTGTCAACAGAAGGGCAGTCCAATACCTCCAGCGAGTGGCTCATCCCGGCGAGGGCGATGGCCTCGCCCCAGAGCCCATCCCGGACGCACCGGCGTGCCCACCTGGATGGGACAGCAGTCCGCCGCAGGGCCCCGGAGAACCGAAACTTCAGAGCAGCCGATCAAACCAAAGCTTGGGGAGGGGGGGAGGAAATCTGAGCATGCAGAGAAAACCCCCGGCTCTAAGAAGACGGGGAGACCACACCCCACGAGGACAGGCCTGCGGGCGCAGAATCAGCCCAGAGACCCTGGAGCACTGAGCGCTACTGCAACACCTCGAAGGTCAAAAACCCAGACGGACCACACACTGGAAACAGAGTACGTCACTGTCGTTGTACAGTATATTGAAGTATCGAGCAGTACAATCCCAGTGACCCTGTCTGCAGTGCTGAACAACAGCTGGTGGTTTTTATTCGGAATTAAACTATAGGAACTGCACTCTTCAGCAGGTGTCCAGAACTTCAGGTGTATCTCAGCCTACACTTTTTAAACCAGGGGTCTCCAGCCCCTGTCCAGGGGAGCAATAAATGATTGTCCTTGAAATCACATTCTAAGGCCTGGAATGATTCACCTATAATCAAGTCCACAGCCGACAGTCCAGATCACATGAGCAAGAATCAGCGGATCCTTCAGCGTATCTAGACGGTCAGTGATCTCTTCATTGAAACATGACTTTGCCTTTTCTGCTTTATTGATAAATGGCTTACACAAATCTTCCTAATCTCTAAATTCAGGTTCTCCTCTCCCGGCCCAGGGCTGAAGAACCCCGTTTTCAACCACCGATGCATCTCCATTTTACACGTCCGATTAATTGATGCATCAGTCAAGCTAGGAATCAAAAATAAACATCTTAACTATAATTAAATCTTAAACTCTACGTGATATGATTTTATGATTTATGATATCATTAAATTATATTCATCACTTTACATATTACATGTAAACACTGCTTTACCTTGCTAGTGTCTAGACAGCAGAGTTAGAAAAACTCCACAAGAACAAACAAAGAACAATATCTTGTCACAGTAACATTCACGATCAAACCACTGAGTTCGCTTGTCCCAGCAGCTCCTGGTCCATGTTCTTGCCAAACTAAGTCCTTTATGATGGGGTAGGTTTGCTGTGCATTTCATTTTCCTGGGTGAAAGATTTCCCACCATCCAAAGGGGTTTTCTATTGTTTGTAAAGTGCAGTTTGATGAAGAAGTGAGATGACTTACAGTCGTGCGAGTGGTGTGTGAGGATGTCTTTCACTCTGCTATTACTCTAAGAGCAGGTAAGCGCAGGTAGTTAAATTAATTCCTTTATCTCACGTACGATTTTTCCATTTAACACCTGACCTCTCCGTTTTTAAAATCCATTCGCTATGTAATTGATGTTTTTACACAATTCAAGTAATTGTTGGATCAGAGCATCCCAACAGATTCTAGCTCGACACCTCTATAGCCTCGTGCTCGAAACGAAACATCATGCCAGGCACTGCAACATCACCATCCAGCCAGAACAAAGGTACAAGCCAGCCTGACTCGCAGTCGTGTTGTTGTGCTTACACGATCAGTCCACAGATCAGATCGTGGACAAACTGTTTCTCCTGTCAGACAGCTACTCAAGGAGCCTTGGAAGGTGCTCTCACAATGCTTTAAAGAAAATATTTCAATGGCTGTTACCCCTGTGTCTTCAAGGGGTTTCTGCCCTGTGCTTTTTTAGTCTTCTTCCACTTGAGTCAATTAACTCAAACGCATGTCCACAATATGTTCATTAACGCTTTTATTCTAATTTTTCAGGCTGACAAAAAGTTAACCAAAACGAGGAACAAGCTTCATCTAACAGTATCTCCTCAAACAGTGACTCAAGGTGCCTAGCCAGCACATCATACACACAGCCCATATTGTAATCTAGTTTCAGACACATTTGCATCTTCTCAAATGTTATTAAAAATAAGAAATGAGCGATCCGCTTGAATAACCAAGTTGTTCACTGTTAAGGTTACTGGGACAGCTGCAGGTGACACACCTGTTCTAATGCTAGCGTGTCATTAAAATATCAGAAGTCTGTTTTCAATTTCCACTCAGGATTCTTGAAAAAGCCCACAGCCCGAGACGCCCCATGAATGGAGCTCAGAGAAGAACAGCAGACATTGAGGTGGAATCACAACACTATTTTTATATTTCTGGGTTAGAAAGAATCTGCATCAATGAGCATATTTCAAACCACAAGGAAAGTAAAATGTACACAGTAACATGTAAAACCTCCAATTTACAGGAGAAAATTCCCATGTACCGTATCCACAGAGCCACACTGCTGTCATTGTCTACAATTCAGAGCGAGGCAACAAAACTTCTGGAGAGATGAAGTGGCCCTACCTATAACATTGTAAACAATTAGGCTTATGAACATCTCTTTTAATCCAATAGAAAAATTGTTCTCGACTTCGAGAGTTTTGCCAACTAATACGACTTACTTGTTAACCATGCATGCAGATCACATTGGCACATTTCTGCAGTGAAATGTCTGCTGCAGAGCCTGTACTTTTTTGCTCATACGTCACAGAACTCTACATCAGTCACTGCAGTGACTAGTGAGCGAGAAGGGCCGTATCACACTTCTCACGAACTCTCTCTCTCACCCGTGGCGAGACCGGCAGCAACATGCTGACTATACAGTACTTTCACAAAGCGCACCGCTTTTGTGCTTGATTCGCAATTGGTAACATTTTGCAAAACCCTCAATTAATCTATGTTCTTACCAAGATTAAGAACCGGTTTGAGAAATTGGGAATTGTAGCCCCCCCTTAACAGCGCAGTTTGTGAAACACCATTGGTCTGGCAGCAGAACACAGCGCTTGATGCCCTGCAGTTGCACAAGTTGGGAAACTCTGAAAGCCCCAGTAAAGATCAGTGAAGGGCGGTACCAGGCAGTGGAGCAGTGATCTGGCCGAGCGCTAGATGCACATGCAGGAGCTGTAGCACATGTAGCAGCAGGTTCTTAATTAGGTTACAATCTATAATCATAATAACTGCTTACACTTATATAGCGCTTTCCTGGACACTCCACTCAGGGTGCTTTGCAGGTAACGGGGATCCCCTCCACCTCCACCAGTGTGCAGCCCCCACCTATGCAAAACCAGAACTCGAAACTCGTAGATGACCCGTTTCAGATTGGATCGGCCCGCGTTACATGGAAATACGTTCTTTCTGATAAACAGAACCAAGGAATTAGGATAAAAAATGTGCTCATCTGATCTTCTCTGACTTGACTGTACCTGTCGGCTTTTCCTCTGTCACAGGATAAAACAGACACATGAAAACTGTGTCGATTTACAAAGAACACCTGGGAATAAATGAAACAATTAAAAATGTCTGGACTCATGTCACAAAAGTTATAGCAAATGTGTTCATGTGTTCCAATTCAACAAAGATTATACTTAAATATTTTTATTTAAAAAAACATATTTCTGTATATTATTATATGATTATAAATTGTGGGAATCTGCTAATTGTATAATTGATATGTTGATCAGTTAAAATGTTTATCTTTTTTCAACTTTTTATATGTAATTCATACAAATTCTGATATTATGCACATTTAATGTAATTCTGTTACAAAAAAAGAAGAAACCTAAGTTCCAGTACAGAAGACCCCGGAGTTTTCGTGTTGTTTCATTGTTATAATGGTTGCTGAAAGAGAGGGATAGATACTAAGCCTCCTTTCAGCCCCTGAAACGTCTGCAGACAGGCACAGCGCTACATGTGTTACACAGTCCTTTCCCTGTCCACTACCTGAACTCCTGGTTGCACAGAACATGGACACAAAGTTGCCCACTGGTTTGAGAAAGGCCGGTTTTCTCGGCAGAACTTCAGAACGCCAGTCAGCTCAGGATCACGCTTCCCGGAAGGCATTTCATACCTTCAAGACAGAAATCTCTCTTTTTACATCATCTCGCTTATAATGTGCGCATATATGCTGCCCGTCGACAGTTGCACAGCAAATGTCATGTACTGTACAATTTGTTATATTCGAAAACACTTTATACTGTATATATGTTCCATTTAAGTGATTTTCTCACAGATAATAGTTGAGTGCTTAAAACTCGTAAATGTTGGATAATTATGAACTATGTATTTATTAGAAATAGCAGACTATACTAAAGCAGTCATCGACATTTTAAACATTTCATTCAACAAAACGAAATGAAAGAATCAAAAGCATTTTCAATGCCGAAGTCCTAGACACAAGCAGGCTTTAAAAAGAATAACCTTAGCTTCCTCCACACGTACAGCGCATACTGTACACGTACTTTCTTAAAACGTGCAAATGTCCTGTTTACGACGAATTTCTCTTCTCATGTAGAGCGATTTACAACGTGCAGAAATTAAACTTATCCAGAACGCATCCACGATCCAAGCGATCAGAAATGCTTTCCGCTGACGAAGTGTCATCGTGGAGCAAGTGCCACGCACAACACAGAGACTTCAACAATTCACTATTCCGGCACGCCGGGATAAGTGCTGCACATCACGGGCAAACGAGGGGACATTGATCACTATTAGTGATCCGCACGAATGACACGCTAATGGCAAATTAAAAACTGGAAAAGGTCATTAACGCCCTTAATGAGCAGGGATCTTCGGAAGGCGCGCTGTAAAAGTCAGGACCGTGGGTCCCAGTGTCCAGCCGCAGGCAACACTTTGCCAAGTGTCCACCACGGGCCGGCCAGTTCGCACTTCGCGATGATTTCGTTTTACGCGGCACGGCGACGGGAAACAACCTGGTCTCCTCGCCGTCGAAGCGAGCCCTCCCGCGCCGGCTGATTCCTCGGACCGACATTAGAGGAACGCGCTATTCGGGAGGGGGGGGGAACCCACTTCTCCCGTTCCACGCAGTCGCGGGTAATAAAAAGCCGAAACGCGGGACGCCGGGGCACCCACCTGGTCTCCGAGAGGCGAGCTGCGGCCGGGAGCCGGGGTGCAGCTGCTGCACCCTTCAAAACGCCGTGCCCGGAACAGCCGCCGACGAGCCGGAGTTGGTTCTCATTCCCCGAGCTTTTGTGTTTCTCCTTGGTAGTTTCGCTGTTCTCCTGCTCAGACACCCCCACCGCTCCCCCCTTCTCCTCCTCCTCCTCCTCCTTCTCCTTCCCCAGTCTCACTCGCTCTGGATCTTTCCACCTCTCGCGCACAAGAGCGGGTGAATGGAAGCAGGGAAGGAAAAGGCAGGAGCGAGCGGAGCGGATCTCTCGCTGTAATTACGGCGTCTCGCCTAATCCTTCTAAATTATTCCCCTCGTTATTTCCAGTGGCGCTCCGTGCACGGTATCTGGGTTGTACCGCCCAACAGAGGACAGGGAATTCGCATCGAACCGGGTCCGGTCCGGTCCTGGAAGTGCCGGCGAAATCCAAAGTATTTCTTGTTTCTTAAAATTATTTTCTGGGACCTTACGAACTCGCGGTTCGCAGACTGTGCTGCCACATCGTGATAACCCCCCCAAAAAAGAGCGAGAGAAGCTACTCCGCTTACTGCTCACTGCTTAGAAATTACAAAGTGTAGCGCAACACAAGAATCAGAGTCACGGTGTATTAGGAGAGCGTTGATTGCCCATTACCTTTTTGCAGACCCTAATTATGAACGTTCATTCGACTGAAGACTTCCCGAAGTTATATTTACAGGACGATTATTTTATTTATTTAGGGCTGGCGCATTAAGGCCTCATTAATTAATGACTGCGCTCATCAGGAATGATTAAAGCAGAGAGAAAACGGACTGTGCTTCCCTTCAGAGCGCGATCTGCTCCCACAGAGCCTGCTCTGCGGTTTGGATCAAGCTCAAAAAAGTCATTATTTCTCATAAGAGCCCCGCCGGTGCAAGGCCCGCACCTCAGCAAGGAAGCGCTGCTTTTCGCGTTTTCGTTTGTTCTTTGCACAATAAAAAGGGGAGGTTGTGATCTATAATGGTATTCTATGATTCCCAAGCAAATGTATGTATATATTTCTTAAAACACTTTTCTCTGTGCTGAGTCTTGTCCGCCAGGAATTGCAGGGTATCAGACGTGTGCCGCTGTCGCTGCTGTGCGCGTACTGAAAGCTGTCTTTGAGATCAATCCGTTTCTTCCCGCGATCTACAGTAGCTGTCGAGTCGTGGCTCCCAGATTGTCTGCGGACCCCTGAAATAATGTCTCCCAGCTTCCTAGTGACTACTGGTCCTATTCACTAGTTCAGACTGGTCTGAATAGATAGCGGGCCGCGCCTTTTCTCTCGGTTGGTGCCGATCTCAGGAAAACTCACCCCCCTCCACAGCGTCCTACAACTTCACAATGAGCCTCTTGCCTACTTCTCTAACACTGTGATACAGTGTCCTGCCCTGCCCTGACAGACAGCTTGTTCTCGGACCTTCATCACAAGTTTCTCAGCGTTCACGGACAGCAGGTTGGATAACTCGTGCTTCGTGATAACAATTACCCAAATAAATCGTTCCCGTCGACTCAGGTTAACAGGTTTACAGTCCGTGCTTTCGTCCATCATCATCATCATCATCATCATCATCATTTTTGGCAATGTATGCTTAATTTCAGAATCGCTTATGTTGCCATTATAAATTAAATGGAGTTTATAACGAAAGTCCGGCAGGGATGACAACGACCAAGTTCAATCAGACTCAGCCGTCGGTAATTAGCAATCACTCCCGACGTGCTTTACTCTCTCAGAACGCTATAAATACGTACGTATCCCACCTCCACCCCATCTCCACCTCTGCAGCTGCCCCTTGGTCACCTTGCATGGGGGTCCTGACCTCCTTGTCCTTTTGCCAAGAGGTCAGCCCTCAGCCAAGCGGGTTATGACAAATTTTCACTCCATAATCCTTTCATGATGCTTTAAGCTGGGGGTGTTGTCATTCCTAGTGAAATTAATATTTACTGTATAGAGTCATATTATTGTATTTTTCTTCACATTCCATCAAAGCTTCCTGACCTTTATCACTCTGTATATCGTTCATTTGGCACAGTTAACACAGGAGGGTGTGCAGATTTCTCTGTCACTGTTGTCGGCGCTGTAGTGATGAGAGATGATCAAATCCAGTTTCTTATGTGCAATTATCCGAACCACGTGAGACTGCCAAGAAAGAACTATTGTTTGAAAGAGACGGTACATAAAAAATCTTTTGTTGTGCTTGTATGCAAAGGGTTTGCCTTGAATTCTGCTCGCTAGGATCTTGTAGATACATCGAGCTTTTCAAGGAGGTGGGGAGGAGGGGTTTAACCATCTAATTTTAATTTAATTTTTATTGATCTGGATTGATAAGCATAGTTTACTGGGGACAACAACATCCAAGAATTAATGTCTGGTGAGAAACGTCTGGCTTAAGTCTGGGTTGGTTAACCAGCAACCACCTGGAGACTTGAGCCCCAGTCAGAGTGAGTGAACTCCAGGCAGCTGCAGGGTGGAGAGGAGGGGAGGCACACTTGAGACGAGTGTGAAAGGAGTATATACAGCTCATGTCGTAATGGTAGCGATTGGGCGCAGCTGTGTGAGATTGACTTCCGACTGTGAGGTAATAACTTCCATTTATATCAAATAGGCAAAACCATACACAGCCGATGGCTGTGCATTGAGAAGCTGGTTACAGCCCTGTAGCAGGTGGATCCATGAGCCTCGGAGTGGTCAAGGAAAACATGCAAACTCCTTACAGAAAGACCTGCTTTAACCTACAGATCGAATCCAGGATGCTAGAGCTATGAGGTAGCATTCTTCAGCCACTACACAGCTGTGCCTGTTGGAAAGTGTGCTCTAGCACTAATACAGCAGACAGAAAGACCAATGCATGATAACACAGCAGACATGAGTGTGTGACAGTGCTGTATTGAAGAACTGAATCAGTATCAAAGTGAAGAATCGGCTACTTGATCCAAAGAATGGGGTGAGCACTGAACCAAAGAACTTCTGTCTAGTGTTATAAATAATTGTAAGTTGACATTGTACTATGTATAAAGGATTGTTATAAGACTTGTTAAAATAGGAACAAGTAAAGGTGTATGTCATGCTGAAAAGAGAAGAAAAGAAACAAGTTTTGGCTTCTTTCTTTGTAGCCTACTCATGCTGATGCAGCTTACCTGCTTGAACTTGTTAAAAATACTTTATTATATAGGTTAAGTAACTGCAGTGGATAGCATTGCTGCCTTGCAGTACTGGGGCTCTCTGTTCAATTCCTGGGGTGAATATCTATCTGCATGGAGTTTGTACGTTCTCCCCTTGTCTGCATGGGTTTCATCTGGCCGCTGCAGTTTCCTTCCACAGTCCAAAGACATGAAGTACTGGTAGGTTAACTGGATACTGGGAAAATTGGCCCTGGTGTCTGTGTCTTTGTGTTCTCCAACTAAGTGGTGTCCCACCTAGGGTGTATCCTGCCTTGCATCCATTGCTTGCAGTGATAAAGCAGTTAGAAAATTGATGGATAGTTTGGTCAACTATTAATTATGGGGAGACACTTGATACAAATATTGTGATGTTTGATATTATCTCCCCTGGTTGAAGACATGACAGTTTGCCAGAATCCCCCTCACCTGTGAGGAATGAGCCAGGGAGGCAGCTGAAATGGTGAAGATGGGGTGAAGGGAGAGCTGGAGAAGATGTGCGCTGACTTGTGAGCAGCCGGCAAATATTTATATGCAGGAGAGTAGAAGTGTGAGATTACAGTTTGACCTCCTCCTGAACTGCTGTTTAACTTCATTTAGGACATGTTTATAAAGGAAGTTTTTTCAGGATTTCTAGACTGCATCTTGAGAGACAAGAGAAAGGTGGGTGTTTGTAGAGGCATCACAGAAAGAGCTCACACAAGGCCTAAAAAGATGGGTGCTCTACACACTCCAACGGCTCTAATAACAGAAATGACTTAATGCTTTGTAACAAGATTTATTGCATTTCAGGTACTCCTGAAGAAGCCTGGAGGTTATTTCTGTTCAGGAAGCCACCTGACCAGCAGTTAAAAGTGTGTGACACAACCTCAAACCAGTGTCTGCAAAACCCGCCTGCCAGCAGCAGTTCTCTCTGACTGCTCAAGGTTCGAGCCCTGTTCCTGGGGCACCGACTGCAGTGATCACCTTCTGAAATGCCATGGTCTGAATCTGCTCTAAGTAACACATTGAACCACACTGCATTCTAGCTGAACAGAGAACATACATTTCTGTATTCAAAACAAGTTAACCAGGAAGCAATTTTTTTCTTATGTTGCTTTAAAATCTATGATGTAGGGCATTCTTTGTGTACATTAAAATAAATGTTAAAGTGGATGTAATTATTCCTTGTAATTATTTTTTAGTTATTTTTAATTGCAATATCCTACATAACCTAGAATGTTTATGTTGTACTGTATATGTACAGGTTTGTGAATATATAGTATGTAACAAGAAAATCTAAAACTATAAATGGATCGAGCCCATAAAAATACTTTTTGGGTTTATCAAATTAAAATACAATTTAGCTGAACTAGTTGTTTTTTTTTTCCTTTATATTGGAACGCATCAATGTAAAAGAGGAAATGCAATAACCTTTCATTTGCTTCGCTCCCTGGAGTATTTCAGCTGTTACAGACAGCTGACGAAGGAACAGAACTGCAGTCCCTATACCTGGATTTGTCTCAAGGAATTAACACAAATCACTTTTGCCTGTAAAACTGTCAGCAAAATCTGGTCTCTGCAGGGGAATTAGAAGTCTCTCTTTAATGAAAGTTGGAGAGAAAAAAAATCAAGATGGAAACCTTTTGCAAAAAACATAATTTCTGAGATTTCTGAGCAATTTAGCTATTCCCAAAAAGATTTAAATATTAATCACAAACAAAATGGATTTGAAGTTAAAAATCAAACGAGATACAGTTTATGAGCTGTATTCTTCTGTGTTTGTGTTTGTCTTCAAATCATTATCGGTATTGCTGCACAACGTTTGTCTGTACATGTACGGAATGTCTGCCTGCATTTGTTAATGACTTACCTTTGTACTTGGAAATCTGGACCAAACTGCACAGCCATGTTGTTTGAAGTCAATATTGTGGCTTATTTCAAATGGCTGGATTAGATCCTTCCAAAAGGACAGGAAGCAGTTCTCTACACAAAAGGTTGTGGGAGTATGGATCAAGCCATGTTATTGCAATTGATACCCTAGATTCTATCTAGAAACAGCTGGATGAAACCTCATAAAAACTAACTACTAATGATCAATTGGACTAGGTGTACTGAATGGCCTCCTTTTGTTAGCAGAATTTCTTATTTTATTATTTCTATACTACTGTAGTACATATGAATGGATGTGTACATGCTCATGTATACAATACAAATGTATGTGTTGTTGTTCTTTATATGTTTAATCCCATTGCAACCATACTGTACAAGCCCTTGAGTACATTCATCTTCTATTTCAGTAGTTGGGCCAAATTCTAATTAACATGCTGACACAGAATACTTAATATTTACAGTGGCTGAGGAAATGACAGCCCTGGCTGTAAGGTCAAATCTGCCAAAACGCCCAAAGACCTGTGAGGAATGAGCAGGGGAGGCAGCCGCACAAGTGCAGCTGGTGGGGAGGGAGGGGAGTTAGAGAAGATGCACTGAGTTGTGGGCAGCAGTCGAGGATTTACAGTAGAAGTAAGTAAGGGCGGAAGTGCAAGATTGCCGTTTGACTTCTTTGTGAACTTCCGTTTAACAACTTCAATTACAGTTACGTAATGTCTCATAGTGTCTCATTCTGGGTCCCGCTAAAGCCAGCGATACCAGCCAGTGAGATCAGGAACAACGATGCAAAGCATTAAAAGAAACTCGTGTCCTTGTGTGGCAGTGAA